TAGATTTGAGCAAATCAAACTTTTAGAATTAAAGAATAGTTTTTGGGTGGTTCTTTTTCTTTTTTCTTTTTTCCATTGAGAGAGAGAGGGGAAGGGAGGGAGAAAGAGAAGGAAAGAAATCTTAATCACTTGCCTCTCATACATGCCCTGACCAGGAACTGAATGCACAAGCCAGGCAGTGCCCCAAATGGGAGTGGAACCAGCAACCTTTTGCTTTGCGGGGTGATGTCCAGTCAACCGAGCCACATCAGCCAGGGCAAAGAATTCAGTTTTTGAAAGGGTAAATTAATGGACTGGTTAAAAGCAGGATAGATAACATCTGAAAAGAGAACTAGTAAACTAGAAGATGGAGCTGAGAAAAGTGCCACAATGCAGCAGAATGGGGGAAATGAAAAACGTAAAGAGAAGTTAAGAGGAATGAATGATAAAATGAAAATGGGAATTCCAGATGGATTTAAAAAATGAAGGAAACAAAAGAAATAATAGCTGAAAATGTTCAGAATTGATCAAAGATAAGAATCTTCAGAATAAAGAATCATAATGAGCCCTGGCTGGTGTAGCTCGGTGGACAGAGCGCGGGGTGCGAACCAAAGCATCGCAAGTTTGATTCCCAGTCAAGGCATATGCCTGGGTTGCAGGCCATGGCCCCCAGCAACCAAACATTGATGTTTCTCTCTCTCTCTTTCTCCCTCCCTTCCCTCTCTAAAAATAAATAAATAAAGTCTTTTAAAAAATACAAAAAAATCTTTAAAAATAAAGAATCATAATGAATCTTGGGCAAGGAATATAAAGTTAAACCTTGACTTAAAGTTAAACCTTCACTGCAAACTGCAGTGAAACTCAGGGTGCCAGAAATATGGGGAAATTATTAAAATCAATCCAAAAGAAAAGAGGAACAAAAGTTTAGACTGACAGCTGATTTTTCACCTGTAACAACAAAGGCCAGAAAACAGTGAATAATATTTTCAAAGGGCCCAAGAAAATAACTGGCAACCCAGAATTATATGCTTTGCTATTAAAGAGTTAGGGCTAAATAGAAGACTTTCAGAATGACACTCCAGATCTTTGTTGAATGGACTATATGTCTGCTAGGGCTGCCATCATAAAGTACTGCAGGTTGAGTGGCTTAAACAATAAATTTGTTTCTCAGTTATGGAGGCTGGAAGTCCCAGGTCAAGATCTGGCACAGTTCAGTTTCTGGTGAGAGCTCTCCTGGTTTGCAAACATCCATCCACCTTCTTGATGAGTCCTCAAGTGGCCTTTCCTTTGAGGACATGCAGAGAGAAAGAGGAGTGGGGAGGAGAGAAGAGAGAGAGAAAGAGAGAGAGAGATCTCTTCCTCTTCAAATAACACATATTGTATTATGGCCCCACCCTCATGCCCTCACTTAACCTTAACTACCTCTGAAAGGTTATCTCCAAATGTAACCACCATCACTGAGGGTTAGGACTTCAACATATGAATTTGAGGGGGACACAATTCAGTTCATAGTAGATTCCTAAGGCATACATTACAGGAAAAAAGAAACTAAGTACAGAAGTAAGGATTAAACACTGGTGAGCAAAGAAATTGGTAAACAGAAGGTAAACCTAAAGTGTTGACTCTAAAAAGCAATATTATTAATAATAAAAAAATAACTAACTTGGAGGGAGGTAAAAACTAAATGAGAATAACTAGTTTTGCCTAACAGAACTCTCTACAATGATGGACATTTTCTATATCTACTCTGTCCAGTATGGGAGTCATTAGCCACATGTGGCTATTTAGCATTTAAAATGTGACTATGCAACCAATAAAATGAATTTTAAATTAAATGTAACATTAATTAAATTTAAGTAGCCACATGTGGCTAGTGATAACCATATTAAACAGCACAGCTTTAAACAATAATAATGACAAATGTGTAGAGCAGACTGGAGTTAAATATTCTAAGGTCTTTGTTTCTTCAGAAGGAAAACAGACATTTTGAAGGCAGATATTTAAGGATAAATGATTTAAGGATAAAGACCAGAAAACTGAAATAGATGTATCATTTCCAAAGTAGTAGAAAGAAAAGAAGAAAACACCATCACTACACAGAAGACAACAGGAAAAGAGATGATAAAAAAAATCACAGAAAAGCATGTTAAGCAGAAGGTATAAGAAATATGACAGAAAGAAATAAGAAACACACTGGTTTATTTTTACAGTGGAATACTGAAATTTCCTGTAGCCTCATATATCAAGAGAATACTAAGTGAAAAAAAATCAGATAACAAAAAATATGCACAGTATTAAATCTGTTATATAAAGTTTTGAAACTTACATTGTTACCGTTCTTTAAAAACACACAACTATATCAACAATAACAATATGCATGGGAATGAATGATGCAACCCAACTTATTAGTGATTTCTTCTGGAGGAGGGGCAAAGGTAGGGGGAATAAATCTATCACTGAATATAAATATTTTTTTAACAATTTGAAGCAAACATGACAAAATGTTAACATAAAATGTGAGTGGCAGGTACTTGGGTTTCAAACTATATCATTTGAAACTGGTAAGAGTTTCAAACTATTATCTTTTATATATGAAAATTCAAATTCAAAACAAACACATTAGGCCAAACCATCCAGCCAGATACTTTCTTCTTTTCTATGTGTTAGACTATTTCTGTCTGACTAGTTTAGATCTTAGAACTTGAACTTGATTTCTTGTCATTTAGGAAACCTCAGTTGACAAAACAATAATCTAACATAATGAGTCCTCTTCACAGCAGGAGACTAAGGACCTGGACAGCCCAGTTCCACTGGGAAGTTCTGTTTCCTTAGGACAGGAGTCAATAACTCATTTAACTATGTGCTCTGTTTGTGAGGCAAGAGAATGCTTTGGGTACCACTGGACAGCTGTGGAGGAGAAAGAAAACAGGGGGAGAAGAGAGAGGGAGAGAAGGAGAAGGAGTTATAGTAGAGGACTACCAATTGACCTTGCTCACCCCCAACATATCCCTGTAGGAAAGTGGGATGGGATGACCCCATCTCTTTGATGTCTTTCTGTTGTTCCTTTTATTGTACTGCAATTACTGTTTACAAATCTGTCTCCCCCACTGGACCATGTCTTACTGCCCTTCTTACCTTGAATGCTTAGCACAAGACCTGACAGAGAGTAAGCCTTAATGAACATCTTTGAATTAACGTTGAATACACAGCTTTAGATCTTAAGCGATTTCCTGGCGTCTCACTTAAGCCCTCTAAGCCTTTCTCTTTTGCTTTACCCCCTTCTTGGGTCCTCTTCCAAGCTCTCACAATTTGAAACTTTAAGCCTTTTCTATCACCACCTCTAAGCTGGGACACTCAAACCAGCTTCTAGGCTTCACAGAGTGCTTTGTCAGGAGGACAAGGAAGGTAGACTGGGGGCTGTGTCTGGAAATGGGAGCTTTTGGGGCAGCAGGCCAAGAATCCTGAACCTGATGTTTTCACTTTATGGAAGCTGTGGCAGAGAGCTATTGTCAAAAGGATAGAGGAGAGGGATGTGGCAGGCAGTTCCTCACACCTAGTATTCATTTCCTTCCTCCCCTGTGTCCCAGTCTGAAGTGTGGGGCCCCCGGTCACCTTCTCACACCCAGTCCTGGCTTTCTGAAGCCAGCCCTGGTCTGATAACAACCCTCTCTTTTCAAGAGAAACCAGCAGGTACTTACAGCTTGTGGGCGGTACTATTTTAACAGAGACAGCAATCTGGCCACACAAGATGTTTCTGTTAACTGTGTTGTGGGAACTGGTCTAGTCTGCTTGGTTGCCATTGAAGGGATTTTCCAACGAAGACGTATGTGCAAACAGTCTATTAGAGGGTCACTGGCCCCACCTTGAGTGTGCTTGCTCATTGGACACCCAGCGTAGATCTGCTGGCCCTTTAGCAGTGAGCTATTCTGGACCCAAGCCGAAGTGGAAGCAAGTAGGCAAGGAGTCTACTTGAAGCTCAGGCATTTGCATACTTGATGAGACAGACATGAGTGGGCAAAGCCACCTGTGGCCTACTTGAAAGAAGTTGACTGCCTCAAGACAGGCAAGGCAACGAGTGTATATTTACCTCTCCCTGTCACAGATTGGGGTGGCCAAGGAAACTGATAGCCAGTCTTGTTGAATTCTGGGCAGGTCTGTGGTCTCTGGTGGGTCAGCTGGGGTAGATGACCCCTACAGCTCCCTGGTGCTGTCCCCCGCCCCTTCCATAAACTCTAATCTGAGCAAAACAGGGCAGAGCACAAGGACCTATGACATTAGCAAGTTCTACTATCTTGGAACCTCCACAGCATCATCTGTTGTACCCAGCACACCACTGATAATTTCCAGCAGCTAAAGGATCACAAAAGCAGCGGCCATAGAAAATTCTGCAGTGGTAGGGCTTCTCTGGGAATCCTTTCTTCAATACCATTGTCCCTCACCTGTTGCCATACCAGACACTCTCTGCACTAGAAGTGAAAACAGACTACAGTGCTATCCATGTTAACCTTGCCTACATGTAGTCTACCCTGACCCTCCTGTCACTCACAGGGGTATGAGGGAAGAAAAGGAATCCCAGTCTTACTGGCCCATAGCCTCCAGATGCTCTAACAGGGAGACTAGGCACCAGGAGGCAACTGTGGATTCGTAGCTCCCACTTGGCACAAAGGACTTGCCCAAACATTGTGCCGACAGATGTGACTAAACTTTAGCCTGGCTTCCTCCTGCATTAAGCTGTGTCCCTAAAGGTGACCCCAGCAATTTCCCATCTCTTCTTCTCCCCTTTTTAGATCCCCAAAGTCTCCTAGCCCCTTTTTGTTCTCTCCTTTTCACTTTCTTATAGACCCTCTTAGTTATCTCTAAAAGTTCTAACTCCCTTTAACCCCTTAAAAAACCTTAGTCACCTTTGCCTTAGTTGGTACTGAGTTCACTTGACATTGGAGTCTCTCTTCCCTACTGCGATAATCTGAATAAAATCTGTCTTGCCACCTTAACAAGTGTCCAGTGCTGTTTGTCTTTGACAGGACCAGTCCAGAACTTGCACTGATGGCCTCAGCCCTCATGCTCCCAGGCCAGGAGCTAGCGGGACCATGCCAGGCACCGCAGCAGAATCCACCTGGGGCCCACTGGGCTCCAGCAGAGATCCAGCATGTGCTCGTCACCATGGAGAAACCTGCCATCAAGAGGTGCCTGAAGACAGTTCACCACAACACAGCAGCCTATGATGATGTGGCCAAGTGCCTTCAGGAGCAGGGATGTGTCTGACATGCATACCAATGTTGAACCAAGTTCAAGGCCCACAATGTGGCCTGTAAGAATGTCCGCGTGGTCATCCTGCACTCTAAAAAAAGCTTCTGCCAAGGGCTGCCCCTTCTACAGAGCAGGTCATGGGTGGCAGCAGCCCAGACCACCTGAGGGAGCAGACCCAGCCGTGTGTGGATGAGCAAAAGGTTACTCTCCCCAGCAGAAGCAGCAGTAGGAGGCACCAGAACCAGAGACGGAGATGGAGACAGAGTATCATTTTAAGCTGGAAGTGGAAGCATTAGAGCTGTCCAGTGACCTCATTCCTGAAAGCCCAGCTGGTACCCAAGTTGACAAGACAATTGAGATGGACATTAGCCAGGGAGTCCAAGGACCTGGGACAGGTAAGTGGCCAAATGTGCTCTACCAAAGCCTTGATGCCATGGAATTGGTTGGAGAAGGAAGTCATAAATGATAAAACCAAGATCAGGACCCCTCAAAATTCCTGAAAATGTAAAAAAGCATGGTTTCATTACAGATTTTAGAGTCAGCATATGTAAGCTGGAAGGGACAGCTGGAAATTGTCTTCAACCTTTGCATTTTGCACCTAAGGAAACTAACTCAGAGGAAAGTAATTTGCAGAAGGTAACACTGCCAGTTAATGCTAAGACTGACACTAGAACCCAAGCCCAGGGATCCTTCCACTGGCTTATACTGGCTCTTGCCTGAAATGTAGTTGATAACTGGCCCTCATGGTAAATTTTTCTAGTCTTAATTCTGGGACCTGGAAAGAATAGGATCAGAAGAGCAGCTAGAATTTGCTCTTTCTTCTCCAAAAAAAGTCCAGAGGAGGCCAGAATCTCCAAAGAGAAACCAGCCTCAGAGATAGACTCCATCATTAGCCCCAAACACTCCAGGGGTGTCTGCAGTGCCCCCTGGAGCATGGGCAGGCTGAGCGTGCCATTTCAGCCCAATGCCAGGACTCTCAGGGGCCCCCACACTCCTACTGCCATTATTGCAGCTGAAATGGCAGAGAGCAGGTGGCTGGTCAGCAAATTGACCTGGAAATCAGTGGCCCAGCTACAGGGCCACCTAGACCAGCACAATGCCCACATGGCAGTCCTGATCCAGCTGGCCAGAGGCAGTTACAGTCAACACCAGGAGGTGGCAGCCATTCTCCAGGGCATTGTTGATGATTCAGGACATTATCCATGAGGGAGTACCTCACCTCGGTCATTTCTAGGCCACCTGAACCAGGAATGAGACCTATAGCTCCTGCCATACCCTGCTACCTCAGGACCTTGGGGAGATTTCTCCACTGAGACTGGGATTTCTGCTTCTCTTTTCTCCTTTTTGTTTTAGGAGAAATTTGCAAATTAAATAGAGGAAAAGAGTAGATAGCAAGGTGAATAAAAAGCAAGGGGACTTGGGATTTTAATAAAAACATCTTCGCATGACAGCTGCTAGTATTTTGTTTTTTTTCTTTATGTTTCATTTGGTCTCAGCCCCATAGCAAAGGATGGACAAGCCTCTGTATCAGAGCTTCTGATGGTTGCAATCAGGCCTTAGCCGAGAGAGGCCATGGTGGACAGGCCTGGGCCTCTCATTGCCCCCAAGTCCCTCTTGTCATCAGTCACACATTCAAGCAACATTTGAAGGTCTACTATATGCCCATGCATTATATAAAATATAGGGTATGGTATTCATTAGTAACAAAAATGCATATTGTCTTTGGAAAACAGTATGGCAGTTTAAAAAAATTAAAATTAGAACTACCATATGATGTAGCAATCCCACTTCCAGGTATATATCCAAAAGAATTGAATACAAGGTGTCAAAGAGATAGTTACATACCTGTGTTTATTGCAGTATTCTTTGCAGTGGCGGAGAAACAGAAGCAACATAAATGCCCATTAACAGATGAATGGTCAAACAAAATGCAGTAACAGATATACAATGAAATACTACGCAGCCCTAAAAAGAAAGGAAATCCTGCCACATGCTGCCACATGGATGAACCTTAAGGACGTTATGCTGAGCGAAATGAGCCAGTCACCAAGGACAATGCTGTCTGATTACACTTTCATAAGGTTTCTAAAGTAGCCAAATTTATAGATATAGGAAGTAAATGGTGGTTACCAGGGTCTAGGGGAGGAGTTACTATTTTATGGCCAAAGTTTTAGTTCTGCAAGATGAAAAGTTTCTGGATATCTGTTTCTCAACCATGTAAGTTTACTTAACACTACTAAACTGTACTTAAAATGATTAAGATGGGTGGGTAACTTAATGATTTTTTACCACAATAAAAATGTACATACCACCTGTACCCTCATGGACCTGTGCCCTTATAATTTTTTAAAAGATATTTTTATTGTTGTTCAATTATAGTTGTCCCCATTTTTCCTCCATTGCTCTCCCCTGCCATGCCCACCCCCCTCTCTCCCACATTCAGTGGACTTTCTAATTTAAAGGAAAGATAAGCATTAAATAAAGCTGCAAATAAATGAACAGCACTATAAAGAAAATGAGCAGAAAGAGCAATCAAGTGAGACTGGGGACCAGATCTGATTGATGTGGTCCAGGAAGGCCTCTCTGGTTGTGCGCACATTAGCTATGGATAGGCTGGCCAGCCCCATGTCCAGATGTAGAGCGGTCCTAGGAGGGAGTCTCTGCCCACTCAGTTGCAGCCACTGCTCTGGTCACTACAATAAGGATGGCTGTGTAGTGAGTGTCCTTATAACAACAAACACACTCCAACTTTTCTTCCTCCCTGGACTCCCAGAAGCACAGTGTGGGCTGAGGGTGGCAGCTGCCTGAGCCTGCTCCAGGGCATCCTTTTCTGTGTGTGGTGTTGTGGTAAGCCTTTTATATATGAATTTTTCAGTCTTCTAAGCATGGACATTGTCTATTCGAGGCCTTACGGACTCAAAGCACCTTTGGTGTTTCGTTCACAGTCTTGCACAGAGAACAGGAGCTCTGTACACACTCAACTCATAAACACTCATCTCCAACTAATCCTTGAGGGAGTAGTCTTAGTGAATATTTTCAAACTCCCTGAAAGGACGTGTTCTTCTTCGTGGAGGGAAGAGGGTTACCTTTGATTCTCTCTCACAAAATTATGGTGAGAAGCCATTGGACAGGCCTCTCTTCTTCCATACCTTTGGCCATCTCAACCTCTGCCCAGCTGCACAGCTCCCATTCAGCCCAGAGCCCTTCCGTGGCCATTCTCAGGCCTCTTCCTAGGCACCTGCTTTCTGTGTTTTCAGAAGGTTAAGGATGGCAGGCCGGGAGAAGCAGGGCCCTTCCCCCTTCCTTTCTGCAGCTACCAGCTCATAAGTCTCCACCCAGGAACTAGGGCCAACTCTGATCCTCAATCAAACTTGTTTGAGGCCTCAGAGAATGCTACTGGGTCTGGAACGAGAAAGTACAATGACAGCATTTTCACACTAGAAATGATGCAATGCTAGAGTGAGAAGCAGACTTGGAGATTAGTGGGACTCGCTCATGTGACAGAGAAAGAAGTTGAGATTTGAAGAGGCTCCAGGACCCAGGGTCCTAGGCTATGGACTCCATAATGCAGAACTTTTCCAAGTTTAGAGTTCACTCGAAGGTTATTATTTGGAAGGGTCAAACTGATCATGTTACCCCTTGCTTAATTCAGTCAGTGATTCCTTTGGGCTCATATGAAGAGGTTCAACAGCCTTAGCTTAGCATGCAGGCCCCTGCCTGCCTCTGCAGCCCCACACTTCCACTTCACCCTAGCTTCCCCACTGCAGACCTACCTGCAGTTCTCCCAAAGTGCCACACTGCTTTCAACCTGTGCCTCCTGCAGGTCTCACTCGCTGGAGCTCCCTCCACCATGCTTACCCTTTACCACTTGCTCAAGGGTAAATTCTTACCAGTCTGCACAGTGTGGAACTCCTCTTCTAGGCAGCCCTATGCCCAGCTCTTATTATATCACATCTTGCTGTTTTGTAACTATCGGCATGCTGAGCTTCCCCCCGCACCAGAATTCTTGAAGGCAAGGACTGTAACTTTTCCACCTTAGCATACCTAGTGCCTAGTACATGGCAGGCACACAAAAAGTCTAGTGAGTGAATGAGCTCAAGAGTACATGCGCTGCCCAGGAAGAAGAGGCTGGGAGATGACTTCTTGCCTTGAAGGATCCCTTCAGCATATCTGTATCCTCTCCCAGTTGTTAAGCACTTTATCTGAGCTGGGGGAACGTGAAGTCACTGAATGTCAGAGATGGAAGGGACTTCAGAGCTCAAGAGAAGCAGGGTTGTGTAGTAGCTGGGAAAGCAGGATAGAAAAGGGGTGTGACGACAGAACCAGAGGTCAGAAAGGAGTGAAGATGCTATGCAGCTGATTGCGAAGATGGAGAAAGGGGCCAGAGCCAAGGAACGTAGGTGGTGCCCAGAAGCTGGAAAAGGCAAGGAACAAAGTCTGCCCTAGAGCCTTCAGAACCAGCAGAGCCCTGCCATGTCCCGACACTGCACACCAAAACTGGTTTGGGACTTCTGACCTCCAGAACTACAGGATAGTACATTTGTGTTGTTTGAAGCCACCAATTCTGTGGCAACTTGTTACAGTAGCAATAGGAAACATACAGGTTATTGGTGTTTGAACAGATTTGTTCAGAAAAGGATGGGCATGTGTACGTGTAAAACTGTAAATGTAGATGTTTATGAAAAGGCATAAACTTTATGGGTGATAAAATCAACACTCAAGAAACTTAAAGTAGAACTAAGGTGAGTAGATCTGCCACTGTAAACTGCTTGGGCTACAAAGCAGCCACACTCCTGTAGCCAGTTTCTTACAAGCCTCTTTGACAGCGCAATGTTCCCCTTCTGGGGATGACAGCATGCTTGGGGTGTTAGAAACACTAACCTCAGTGCTTCACTCTCAGGAAGAGAGAGGGGAGGGTTAACATGGGAAGACAAAAGAAGGCCTGAAGGAGACATTCAGGGGAACATGCAGAATGGATAGTCCTCACCATGAATTGGCTGGGCCAGGAATGCCAGGTACCAACTGAGGGCTTGGCACACCTGGAACCCCCGCTCCCGTTGTGCCTGATGCCCCTCCTCAGGCTGGTTCTGCTGCATGCCACAGCTAGGGTAGAAGCTCTGGTCCCACTCCAGACAGCAGGCAGAAGACCTCACCTCAGTTGATACACGGAGTAGAGCAAGCAACAGCCACCGACCACCTCACAGATTCACTTTGCCTGACATAGTGGCTTGTCTGGGAGACACTGCCACTGTCCTCTCAACTGCCTGAAGGCCTGCTCAGTGGTGCTGCACACCACCAAGAGCTGCTGGTTGAAATGCAGCTCCTCAAGGCTGATCGTTGGTGGTATGGGGCTGCCAGCCACTGATGGAGAGGGTACACTCCATCACCAGTGAGGACAGGGCCTATGTCACGTCCCCTGTTTCTTGTTGGATGGGGGTAAGAGAGTGCCGGCATCTCCCTATGGCAAAGCTAACTTGCCTCCAACACATGTAGGCTGTGGCTCAATCTTGGGAAGCCGACAAACACTTGGGTGAAATGAAGGTCAGGACCAGCCGTAGCTTGAGGAATTACTGAAAAGTACTGGCACCCATTAGGATAGTTCTTTTCCTGCCTTTTAGCACTGGACACCTCACTACGTGTGTCCCCAATGGCCCCAGCACACGTCAGGAAGCCGTGTTTGGTCCAGAACCTCTTCACAAACCCCACCTGGTCAGGCTGGTTTTCCTGGATGTATGAAATATAGCACAGGTGGCATCCACTGCCTCATGGAAGGCACGTCCACTGCTAGATCTGCCTGCTCCCGAGAGCTTAGCCACACAGTGCGGAGGCGCCCAGGAGGCCAGCTGACACATTCTCCTGGCTGCTTTCTGAGGCACAGAGAGAAGCAACTTCATGTGGGTGACTTTCTTCTAAAGATGCAGGGCCAACTTTTTGCAGATAGAGTAAAATGTCTCCTGAGACACCCAGAAGGCTTGCTCTCATCTGTGGGGGCTAAGTCTGCTGGCTCAGAGGGCCTGACAAAGATGAGATGGTATAGGGAGGGCCCCGGTCCTGTGGGCTCTTCTTCCAAGGGAGAGGGACACCGCAGGCATCGGTGGCTGTATAAGTAGAGAGAGGATGACCGTCTGGGTCCTCAGGTGTGGAGGACAGGTTGACTCAGGTGGACCTGCATGGCCTGGCCCAGGGCAGCCACTTTCTCAGCCACAAGCGCAGCAGCAGTGGCTGCCAGTGCAGTGGTTTGTGCAAGAAGCTGCAGTGCCCCTCCGAGCTGGATCCATGAGGCATGTGTTGGGAGTTGAGGATGTCATTAAGCAGAGTTTGGCAGAGTGATGTGTGGGTGTGTATGCCTTTCTCAGTGATGGGCAATGAGATACCTCCCAGGCAGGTGTGGGCCCCAGGAAGCTCAGGGTTGAGTTAGCTGATGAATATCAGGCCTGCCATTATGAACTGGACAAGGGTGTGAATGTAATTACATCTGTGTAAACCACACATCCACAACTTCTGTCCATTTTCCTACAGATGCAGTCAGCAGTACACGAGCCAGGATAAAAGGGCCCAGACTAGGTTCTTACTGTGGATATCAGCTTTCCTTCTCTTCCTCCCAGACCGATGACTTCCTCTCCTTAATGACTCTATCTAGAGGACTTTTAATTTCTCCTGGCTTTCTCTCTTCACCAAGCAAACAAATTGGTGAAAATCTATGGGAAGTCCCCTCCCATACACTAAAATCAAGAAATGCCCAGAAAAAACAAACTCCACCATTCAATTTTACTTGCCCAGATCATCTGGTGTCCTCACCAGGAAGCATGTGAAGAGATCGTTAGTTACTTTTGGGTTTGTTTTTGTGGTTTTTTTGTTTTGTTTTGGTTTGCGGGTTTTTTTGTTTTTGTTTTTGTTTTTGTTTTGTTTTTTTAATAAAAGAAAAGATTCTTTTCCATTTCAGGTACCTGGCTTTTAATTTAAAAATTCACTCTGAAGCCCTGGCTGGCATAGCTTAGTGGATTGAGCTCGGGCTGCGAACCAAAGTGTCGCAGGTTCGATTCCCAGTCAGGGTACATGCCTGGGTTGCAGGCCATGACCCCCAGCAACCGCACATTGATGTTTCTCTCTCTCTCTCTTTCTCCCTCCCTTCCCTCTCTAAAAATAAAGTGAATAAAATCTTTAAAAAAAAAATTCACTCTGGATTTCAACCTTTTTATTATGAGGAAAGACCTTAGAGTCTTTCTCTATAAGGCAAAACAGACTTTGTTATTAGCACTTAGCTCCAGATCGCAGAGTTGCAACATTGCCAAGTCACTTAGAAT